TGGTTCTGCCACTCTACACCACAGGGAATGTCTCGCCAGGCCAGTCACTGTTGCAGCTCCCACTGGTCACAGCTGAAGTAAGGAAGATGAGAGGACATGTGCAACGTTTATCTTTCCAGGTCTGTTACCTCACTCAGAATGACTGTTTATCTGGATTTTGTTTTCCCAGGATCCCACTATGTAAATGTATATCACATTTTCATTATCCATACATCAGCTGGTGGACATTTAGGCTATTTCCACTCCCTGGCTATTACAAAAAGAAAAATATTAAATATGGATGAGCAAGCATCTCTGTAGAAGAGTCCTTTGGGTATATATCCAAGAAGGACATAGCTGGACAGGGTATATATCTAAGAATTGCTAGACAGTGTGGTAGATCTATTTCTAGTTTTTTGAGGAAATGCCACACTAATTTAACCAGTTTGTACTGCTACAAACGTCTTTATCTGCATTTGTTGTCCTTTTTAGAAAAAAAAATTATCGTAGACATTCTGATGGGGGTAAGATGAAATTTCATAGTTTAACTGAATTTTCCTGATGGTGCAGGGATATTTAACATTTTTTAAAAGTATTTCTCAGCCAGTTGTCTTTTTTCTTCTGAAAATTCTGTTTACTTCCATGTCCACCCCCAACTTTTTTGGTGGGCTCTTTGAACAGGCTTTCCCTACCTTGTTCTGGCTATCCTGGAACTCATAAGAGACCCACCTGCCTCTACCTTCCCAGTATTAGGATTAAAAGCATGTACCACACCAAGACGAGTCTCTATGCCCCAATTTTTAACTGGGTATTTGTTTGTTTGGTTGGTTGGTTTTTTGAGACAGGGTTTCTCTGTGTAGCCCTTGCTATCCTGGATGGAACTAGCTCTGTAGATCAGGCTGGCTTGGAACTCAGAGATCCACCTGCCTCTGCCTCCTGAATGCTAGGATTAATGACGTGTGCCACCACCATCCAGGTTGAACTGGGTTTTCTAGATGTTAAGTTTTTGTCAGTACTTTGTATATTCTAGATACAAAATCTACGTCAAGTTTTCCTCTAATGTGGTATCAGCTGTTGATAATGATGTATATTTGGAAGCATTAAAAATTGATTCTATTTTCTAATCCAATTTGCTACTTTACATTAAGAGTTCTTATTGAGAGATGTGTTACCTACCACTTTGTAGATTCTGTGTTGTTTCCTTAGACCTCTGTGAATTAGCTGTTCTAGCACTTATTTACTCCTTTTGCCCTCCAGTGTCTTTACCCTTTTATTCAGATTGAGGTATTCCTTCCAGAATCTTCTGTCGAGTTGCCTTAGTGGTCATAAATTCCTTAAAACTGTTTTTAATCACAGAAAAATTTATGTCTCCTTCAAATTTAGTGGATAGTTTTGTTGGGTATAATAGTTTTGGTTTATAGTTGTGGTCTGTCAGAGTTTGAATGCATCTCTCCCAGACCTTCTGGCTGTGTGTGTGTGTGCGCGCGCGCGTTTGACCTTTGCTCTTTTGCAGCATACAATGCCTATGTCCTGAAGAGTTTCTTCTCTAGCCCTGTCAATTTAAGTGTTCCTAGGTCTCTTGTACCTAGGATGTGCACCTCCTTCTCTAGGTTTGAGATTTTATTGAAAACAACCTCTATGCCTTTACCATGGTATTCTTCTTCTATGCCCAAGATTCATCTATTAGGTCTTTTCATTTTCATGTGTCCCAATGTTTGCCCATGTTGCTCTTTCCTTTTTTTCTTTTTTTAACTTTCTCACGTGCTTTCCTCTACTTTATCTTCCAGTCCTGGTTCCTTTTGCCAAGTAAGCCTTCTGTTGGTGAGACTTTCATTACCGAGGTTTTTATTTGGAGTTTTCTATTTCCAACATCATTTCACTTTTCTTTCACAATCCTCTCTCTTTACCGAATTCAATTTTTGTATCATGAATTGAGTTTCTATTTCATTCAATTTTTGTTGTTGTTGTTGTTCTTTCAGCTATTCGGCCACAGTTACAATCATTCTGTTGAATGGTTCATTACTATGTGATGAACTTTTTCAAGACATGTTCTCTTGGTTTTTCATGTCAGTGTTGTTCTTTCAGCTATTCGGCCACAGTTACAATCATTCTGTTGAATGGTTCATTACTATGTGATGAACTTTTTCAAGACATGTTCTCTTGGTTTTTCATGTCAGTTTCATTTTTTCACTGGGACTTGTTTGAATCTGAAGTAGTTTGCTAGTTAGATGTTTTTCTTTTTCTTGAAATCACTGTTCTTTCAGTTTAGTCATACACAGTATACAGGAGAGGTGGGACTTTTATTGGCAGCTCCAAGTTCTATCTCTAGTCTTCTGAGTTTGCTACTATTTACCCAAACAAACACCATATCCAAGAGTCAAAGCATGTCTTTTCCTACTCCTCTTCTCTACTTTCTTTTGGTGGTCTCTCTAAATCTAGTTGTTTTATCTCGAGTAAGCTCTGGTCAGCCCAAGGTTGGCAACAGTAGATCTTGAGAAACCAGATGTGCAGTTGGGAGGCATGGAAGTGGTTCTGTGGGGTCCTCAGGTGCTTGGGCTGAGGCTTCAGGGTGGACCGTCCTACCTGTATGAAATCCTTCAGTTCTTACATGTTCAGTTTTTCTTATATGTATCTTTCAGCTTCCAGTTCATAAACAGAAAGTAAATTCTATGAGTCAATAAACATTTCTATATAGGACATAAGGACTATTTTTCTATCAATTTGACCTGCAATTAAGTTTTTCACAGAACTTAAATTGCCTGAAAATAAGATTATATATTTAGAAAGTACAACAAAGAGGAAAGACATCCTTAAAAGGTGAGGGGTAGGAGTGGGGGGTCTGGAGAGACTGAAATCCCATGTGACCACCAGCATGTAGTAATTCAAATCCCTAAGAATACTAGATATCATCTCTCTTTATCTTTCAAAATACGCTATAGATAGGAATACATATTCACAATAAACAGTACTGAGTTCATATCCACTATTTCTCTTTATCCCAACTATAAGAGAAACCAAATAAGAGCCTTAAAACCTATAATTTACTGCAAAGAAAACTAAAATAGTTAATAGAACTAATATCACTAATTTAAAATTCAGTTTACTGATAAACTGTAAAAGCCAGATTCAAACACTAAAAGTCACTTTTCAGAACAACTGACAGTCTGTTTGTCTTAACATTAAAGGGGTCCTATATCAATCAGGTAACTAGCTAAAGTTTACTCCCACATCACAAACATTCCCTACAAAACAACTATTTTTAACTAAGTAATGTATTATAGTTCAATGGGGGGTGGGAAACAGAGGACATTCAGATTTTAGGTTAAATACTATTAAAATAGAACTGCTATATCAGAAATTATTTTATAAGTTCTGCTGATTACTAAAATATGGATAATTATTCTTGGTTTTCTTTTTCTCTATGGTATTACCTCCCATCCTATTTTTGTACTGAAACAAATTGATTCACAATACCACTAGCAACATAGGCCAATTTACTTATCTACCTACCTACCTACCTACCTACCTACCTACCTACCTGTCTTTCCTCTGAACAAACCTAATTCATTAATGTAGTCCTAAATATGTTATATAAATCCCTAAATTATGTAAATCTCTCACATTAAATGACAGATTCCTAAATTGTAAGAGAAATTATTACTATGAAAAAGAAAAGTAAATCAGTCAACAAAGCAAATTTTATTTTTGGCCTCAACTATTTGTATATAGTAAAGAGAACAAGGAGTAAATTCTACAAATAATGATGAGTTAATGTAAAGAACTTGAGTAAGTTAGTCTATCACTTCTTAGTATGTAAGTGATAAAAAGTAGATAATAACAAAACCAATCAAATATTCAGGAATAAGCTCATCAAGAATAACCCCTGTAAGAAAAACTGAAAGACACAAAAAGTAGACTTAAACGAATTGGTATTTCTTCTCTTCTGCAATTCAACATTTGAAATGCCAGATCTTCCTAATTTATAAGCTTGATAAAATTCCAATTAAAGATGTAACAAAGGGGAAAAGCTCAGGCGTAGCCCAAATACTGTGCCAAGTTCATCAACAACTACCAAGAACTCAAGTAGGCACGCCTAAGTCCCCTGGGTGTCATTATCCTCTAACCAACCTGGCTATACAAAGTCATTTTTGTTTTGTTTTGTTTTTTAGACTGGGTTTCTCTATGTAGCCCTGGCTGTCCTGGAACTCGCTCTATTGATCAGGCTGACCTCAAACTCAAAGATCTGCCTGCCTCTGCCTCCCAAGTGTTGGTATTAATGGCGTGCACCACCACTGTCCGACCCATTTCTTTTTTATATAAAAATAACAAGCCTGAAATGTTATATCACAGATGCTAACTCTATATAAGGATTAGCAAGGCTTTATGAAATATCCAGAACCTTCTGTAAACTGCATGCTGTCAAGCCTGAGAACCCCCAGGTTTCACAAGTAGAAAAAACAGAGTGCTACAATTTGCCTCTGACCTCTCCACGTGCCCCTAGAGCATAAGTGTCTGCCCTCAACCCTATACATACAACTAAAATAAGTGTAATCAAAAATATTACAGTCAATGAAATGGAGAAGTAACCCCAACTAAATTGTTAAGTAGATACACTTTTCTCCAAATCGACTAATAACTTGATACAATTTTAACGCCACCCCAGCAGTTGTTTCTTAAGATTTAACAAGACATTTAAAAAGAAATGGTCACAAAGTACACTGCTGGTTCTCATCACTCAGGAAGTACAATGTTAAGTGACTAATCAGTGAAATCTACGTCCAAGCCTGATGTACTCTGTCACCTGTAATCACAGCCCTGAGCAGGCTGAGCCATAGGAGTGTCTTGAGTTTCAGAGCAATCTGGACTGTACAGACATAGGAAAGGGGAGGAGAATGGAAGGAAAGGGGAAAGGGAAAGGGCAGAGAACAGGAAAAGGAAAGGAAGGGATATAGCCCAGTGGGTAAGAGCAGTATAAATAAAAACAAATATATAGAAACAAAGATGCAAACACCAGGTTTTACCTTAAATCGCTTGTCCTGCAAAACTTTCTTGATGGCGACCAGTTCTCCTGAATCACAAAGTTTGGCTTGATACACCACACCAAATGATCCATTTCCAATCACTTTAGTGTCTGTATAACTGACTTCTTGTGGCCTGTCAGGACCCTGTCCAGGAGTTGCCACCACGGTAGTCACCTTGCTGCCATCTTTATCTCCTGCAGGAAGAAAGGGATTTAAAACAAAAATGAAAACTGCATAGAAATATACAAAAAAAAAAAACCTGCCAACAATTTATAGAGTAAATATATTAAATAAATATTTAAGTATTAGCATAAAGATAGCTTAACTACAGGTAATTTAATCCATCATTTACAAGTTCATTCTGCTTCATTTAACAAAATGCGACTTGTTGAAAACTGTCACCTATAATGCAAATGTATTGTTCTCATTAAATAATGGCATTGGGAAGGTCTGGAGGAGGTGAATAACAGGACAACAGGGAGAGGAGATATGATCAAAGAAGCATGTGAGCGAAACTGGGAAAGAATAAATAATTTTTAAATACTACTAATGGGAAGCCAGATATCATGGCTCATGCCTGGAATCAAGACAAGGTTATCACAAGTGCAATGCCACCCTGGGCACATACCAAGAGTCCATATAAATAAATAAGTGCAACAAAGCTAAAGCTGCCCCCAAGTCACAGTTCAAATGGTGGACTCCCTTTGGGTCTGACTTTCTAACTTTTTTTTTAAGGCTGTTTACTGGAAAACAAAATAAATGTTAACTAAAAAGATGTAAGAACAATAACTCCATTCTGACCATTCTGCCTTTTGGAAAGTAGGACTTTGAGATTTTGCTTTTATCTTAATCCCTTTAACATATTAAATGTAATATCTTTGAGAAAATAATCACATGAGAAAATTAACTTTGGGTGTGGTGGTGGTGGGGGTTTTGAGGCAGGGTTTCCCTGTGTAGCCTTGGCTATCCTGAAACTTACTCTGTAGACCAGGCTAACCTCTTGCCTCTGTCTCCCAAGTGCTGGAAGGAAAAGAACATGGAATTTGAGGATAACATGTAAAACAAAGCACAATAAAACCCATTCTAAATTGAGCCCATGTGTGTCTTACTTACATATACCCTCATCTTTCCTTACCTTTTGTGTTGCCTCATCCTTAGCAGCAAACCATAGGGGCGCCCTTCAAGCTCAAGACCGTTCTGATTGGAAGTCCACAATTGTCTGTGAATTCTAAACTATCCTAGGTTACCTATTACCTGGTTCTCAAGAGCTTTAAACCATTCTCTTGGTGACTTCACAATACATTTAAGTTCTAGAAACTAGAACCATGATGAAATAACAATTATGACTCCCCTTTCTAGCAAATATAACACAGATCCAATGCAAAGTATAAAAATATATGTACATAAGTTTTTGCCTCATTAAACTATATCTTTTTCTGTTTCTATTCCATCATGTAACTTTTAAGATGCCAAGTGAACTCATTCTTACCTACTGAAGAAGTGACTCCTAGCTACTTGATAAATGAACACCCAAAATGTTAGTGGCAGACAATGACCAGTATGCTTATCTATTAAATACAAAGCCAATAAGCAATGTCTGTAAGACCAATCTTTCCTTAAAAGATATCCTTCATGCCAGATACAGAACAATGACTGAAAATTATGAATGGCTTCTTATAAGGAAGGCCAGGTGATTCACAGGTAGTCTGGCATTACATCTTCAGTTTCAAGGAAAAACACTCAAAAATATATTACTAGTGCAAATTTCAAATTAACACAGTATCACATGCTGAGACAAATCAATGCCACAGTTTTTATTTACAACACTATTATGTATGCTTTGAATAAATACAAACAGCATAAGTCATCATATACACTGTGGTCCTATGAGCTCTTAACTGCTCACTTATAACTTACAGGAAAATAAACTGGGGAGGAAGTGGGAACTGGGATTGGTATGTAAAATGAAAAAAGATAGTTTGTTTTCTTTTAAAATAAAATGATAATAAAAAAGAAAAGAATGGTTTTAATTTTAAATTATCATGTTCCATCTTTAAGAATCTAACAATACTCACCTTAATTACAATTTTTCAATTGCTTATAAATTCTATGTGCTCCCCCAAAAAAAATATTAGTTTTCTTGTCTTTTTCTTTCTTTCTTTTTTTTTTTCCTTCTTCTTTCTCCTCCTCTTCCCTCCTCTTTGTCATTTTTGGGTTTTTGGAGACAGGAAGTCTCTCTACTCAGCCCTGACTATCCTGGAACTCAGTACATATACAAAGTCAGCCTGGATTTTGAGATCCACCTGCCTTTGGCTACTGAGTGCTGGGATTAAAGGCTTACACCACCAAGCCCAGCTCATTTTTAAAAACAGAATCACATTCTTAAAAGATGCAAAGCAGTGAGATGCAGAAAAATTAAAGAACAAAGCACTGAATACTTTATTATCCAGCTATTTCAAATAAAATAAAAATCTCACATGATTTTCTCTTTAGCATGAAAGTTAAAGCCATGGAATTACCATTCCATTGAACAGGTCTGCTTCCCAAATCTCAGAGATCTGATTCACAGAGCAACGCAGTCCTACTTTGAAGGTAGGTAACTAGTATGACTGGTTGTAGGGCTGCACAGTATTTAAAAAAAAGTACGTCTTTCTGCTGTAGGAAGACATTTCAACCCAGCAAACAGGGACCAGTTTCGAGTGGGTTCCTGTAAGACATGCCACCACAGCAGCATCCATGATGACCTCCCCATTTGCCTCCTCAGGTAGTACTTGAAAATCAGGAGGGTAGGCACAAACTATTAAAGACAATTAGCACTACCCTAGGGCTTTTTTTTTTTCACTGCAAGCCTAAAATTTGTTTCCTGATCGAGAAATGGGAAAAGGTACAAAACCAGTAATTGCTGGAATAGTAGAGTGGACAAACTACGAGAGCTTTATCTTTGTCTACTCAAGATCTGGTGGAAGGGCAAAGAAATGGATCTGGCTGGCCTTAAACTCCTTATAGAGACCAGCAATCCTTATTGTACTCAGAGATTCACCCACTCTGCCTCCCTAGTGCTATACCACAACACACAAAACAAAGAGATTCTTGAGGCCTCTTAATCTTGAGCTGTGACTGCCACAGTCAACATCCAATCCCTTAGTAGAAATGAGAACATTTGCTCTATCTTCTCTGAAGCAGTTAGAGAAGCTGCAGAGAGCTCTTGGGAGTCACATCTCTGCTAACATCACATGTCTGACGCACACCAGGAGCAATGGCTCTCAGGCTATCCATACCAAGTCAATCCTAGAACTTTTTTTCGAAAAGCATCACACTTTTCTGACTGCTTTATTCAGAGTTTAACTAAAAAAGACTGTTAACCTGTCTTCAAAAGTGAGCCAGGCGTGGAGGCGCAAGCATTTAAAACCAGCACTAGAGGGGCACAAACAAGTGGATCTGAATTCCAGGCTAGTTTTGTGGATACATATAGTGAGTTCCAGGCTAGCTAGAGCTTTGTTGAGAGACCCTGTCTCAAAATAAAATAAATTAAAACAAAACAAAACAAAAAAAGATAATAAACTAAGATTTCTTTTGAAGCAAAGAAAGAATTTACAGCCAACTGAAAAAGTAATTAAGATGAACCCAATCAGATTTCTGAAGCTGGAACATGAGTAGCAGTGTTGAAGAACACAACAAGGTAATAATACTGGGAGGAAGTTGACAATATTACCACACTGGCAACTAGCGACTTGTGTGCCAAGCATTTCACCAGAGGCACTGGCATCAGCTGACTTGGCAATTGCATAACAACCATATAAACTGATATGGTGTTTTCCCAGATAACTTCCCACTTCACTGTTTTGTATTCCTTAACATTAACATAAAAATGAAGACATAGTATGTTTCCTATGCAAATAAAAAATGAGTTGAGTAAGAAAGACTCGCTTCTAAACTTTAACACACTGCTTTGTGGTACCTCTCCTGCACTGTATGGCCTAGCTGTGGCCTAAAGACTCATTCCACATGCTTTCCCACTCCTATAGAAGGAGAAAGTCTGGTAACAGCCAGTGGAGGATTGGCTCCAGAGTGGCAGAAGTATCAGAATACAGAACAATCTTTAAAATTTCCTACCCTTACCTACTTACCCCTGGTATTTCCAAATGGAGTTTGGCAACATTATGCCCTGAAATGTCTACTTCCCAAAAGCAGATGAAAAATAAAACTCTAAACACTAGACTCTGGGACATCCAAAGAATTCAACATTAACCACTAAAAGATTACTTTGTACAATAGAACAACACTGACATACAGAACTCAGAATCCTCATGAAAAACTAAAAATAACAAATCTGTTAATTAGAAAAAAATAACTACTTTATTTAATACTATCTTAGAATACACGGTCAGCATAACAACTGTCGAACTAGTTATATGACATACACCATTAAAATAAAATCGGTCTTCAAAAGCTGTCACCGTCCCTGGGGTACAACAGCAGAACTATGGCAATTAGTAACACAGCTCCAGGTCCTCTCTCTGACTCTTGGATTCTTCTGTGACAATCAGAATCTGGTCACATGGTACACATTTCCTGCTATAATTAGAACAACAGAAAGGTGTGTGCACCTTCCTGCTTTTATCATTGTAAAGAGATCCCCAACATATCAATCACAATAGATCCCTCACAAAAATAATGGGAAGATCAAATGCAATGTAACAACTGCCTTCCAGCCAGCGAGAAGGTCCAGTAGACAAAGCCCCTGCCATCCTAGTCGAATGCCCTATCCATAGGCAAAGAACCCATGCTGGACAGCCTCCTCCCTCTGCCTTCCATGAGCAGGCAGAACATGCTCAGGTTCATTCTCTCTCTCACACACAAACACACACACACACACACACACACACACACACACACTATATAATAAACTTTTAAAAACTTACTTAAAAAAGGACTATCTCTGATTGGAGACTGTTAAATATAGAATACAAATGTAGAGCGAACATCCAAAAATATCAAGTGCCTATATCAAGAATAAAAGTCTGAGACCCTAGCACTGTCATTTTAATTTTATGTGAAGTGATATATCTTAAAACAACCTTTGTTTACTTAACAAAGTCTTTTTTTTCCTTCTTAAAGAGGCCAGTTCTCAAGATTCAGAGCTAAGAAACAAGTGAAAGACGTTTAACCACGAGGCTTTTAAAGACTATTACTA